AATAAAGTGCAGTTTAGATTATTTTAACATTCACTTACGACCTTACGCCATGAATGACAGAAAAAGATAGTTTTTTACAATAACTTTTATTCCAAATTTAATCTTATCTCCTTAAAAATAAAGCAAAAATTTACACGCATAGCATTTTACTTACGCCCTTTTAAACTTACGATATTAAGACTTTACTGCTTCGAACAGAGTATTACGGAGTCGCACTTTATACGTTTTTTGTAAGAATATTTTGAGTAATTTATTTTTTACTATGTTTTTTTAATTCATATTCATTCAATTTTTTCAATTTAATTCCTTGTGATTAACAACAAATATTGTATAACTATAGATAATTATACCTGAGTTAGCTATATTGTATCTTGTACATCGGTGGGGAAAATGTATAAGAGCTTTTTAAATCACAACAGCATAATCTCCACCAAATTGTTTTATTTATTAAATACATGTCAGATTCGGTAAAATAGTCTGCACAAACCACACTGGAGCAAAATAATTGTCGCTTCTTTTTTCTTTTATTACTCTGTTATTAAATCTGTAAAAATGTAAAAACAAATTCCAGTTTACAGATTTCACTTCGCCGTCCGTTGTACAGACCTCTGTTGCATTCGTATCTGATCTAGCGATACACGGGGTGTTCGAATCCCAGGCGGGTACCAATTTTTCTAATGAAATACGTACTTAACAAATTTTCACAATTGACTTCCACGGTGAACGAATAACATCGTGTAATAAAAATAAAACCCGCAAAATAATTTGCGCAATTACTGGTTGTAGGACCTCTTGTGAGTCCGCACGAGTAGGTACCACCACCCCACCTATTTCTGCCGTGAAGCAGTAATGCGTTTCGGTTTGAAGGGTGGGGCAGACGTTGTAACTATACTTGAGACCTTAGGACTTGTATCTCAAGGTGGGTGGCGCAAATGCGCAAATGGCAGCGTAAATACGCTGTAAATGTCTATGGGCTCCAGTATAACCACTTAACTCCAGGTGGGCTGTGAGCTCGTCCACCCACCTAAGGAATAAAAAAATAAAAAAATTTGTGACTCCACTACACTTGTTCTGAAATAGCCCTATTTCATCCTTGTCTTGCATGTAACCCTTATTATGTGTGCGAAAGAAATAACTGCGAAGCAAAATAATAGGATTTAATTTCTTGAAGTCCTAAATTTGGTAAGAATAACTGATTTATTTCAAATATTTATCACTATCTGTTAATAAAAATTATAAAACTTACCAAAAATACTAAATTTCATGTTGTTTTCTCTTTGTAAGCGTGTTTTTTTACATCTTTTTGCAGCGCACTTTAGGATCGTTCCGCTCGACGGTCGGCGTGACACTGACGGCAAAACAGTGCTTAATATGAATCTAAGCACTGTTTTGTTTGGTTACTTTTGACGCCTTTACGCGGAATCTAGTGGTAATATATCGATGGATGGGATAGTCAATTATAATAAAATATATGAAAGATGTTTCATAAAAACCAATTTTACATTTTATTTCACAAATATATTTTTTTGTACATAATAACATTGAATTATACTTTAAAGAGCCTTAACGATTAAGTACTTACACGTATTATGAATCTTAGTAAGATTAACAATCTACAATTAATGGGACATAAAATGAGCATTACATATAAAGAATTTGTTTCGTAAGTGGTTTTTTACAGATGACTATAAAATTAATGTTTTTTGCATAAGACGGGTTTCATCTCGTTAATGCCGTTTCAGTTAAAAAGAATACATACTTAATTTACTATATTGATGAAACATATTTAATGAAAACCAATTTTACATCTTATTTCACAAATGTTTTTTTATTGTACACTATTGTGTATACAATAGTGTACAATAACATTGAATCATACTTTAATGAGCCCTAACGATTAGGTATTAAGAATTTCGGAAAACTGAACAATTAATAATTAATGGGACATTGTTTCATAAGATTTCTTTACAGTTAACTACAAAAAATAGTTATTGGAAAAAACTTTGAATCCTGAAAAAAAAAACTTGTTACCAGTGATATGAGTCACTTTAATATGGATTGTTTTCAGTCAATGAACCAAAACTGAAAAACGTGATTTTTTTTGCTTTGATTAGCGAGTCCACGGATAAGTTGGGTGCCACGTGCCATAGTAAGGATGATTAATAAGATTATTGCGAGTTGTCTTATATTTTTATGAAAAGGTTCTCATAGCCCTAATGTTGTAAAACAATTAAAATATGTAGTTTCATAAGCATGGCGTTTTACCTGATCTCTCCCTCAAAGTTTATCATTTTAAAAATAATACCAAATCACGACAGTGCACGGTACCATTTAGTAGGTATGTGTATTCATAATTAAGCTAGTCGTCGATGTATGTCCAATAATAATTATATTTTACGTAGAACAATTTTTATTCTGAGTTTTCGCTCCACTTACGTATATTCTTTTATTGGACAACTATTTTACCTGAAGTGACTTTCTTTTGAGATTATTGTTATGAGCGAGATATTTAGTACCTAACATACGAATTTGGGGGCAGCTACTTTCCTACGCGACGACTTCGGGCCTTTAAATTTTAGCTTATTCCCAATTTCAGTTTGTTTTAACACATTCGCCTTTCACCATATCAGAAATTAAAAAGCCAGACATAAGCTGTCTTGGTCCGTCTCAAATTTAATATTGAATACCGCCTTAACGCATTTAGGCTAATAGCATTTTTCAATGAAACAACAATTTTAATATTTTTTCCTCCACAACTCTTGAAAAGATCTGTCACTTAATAACAATAACGAAAGTCTGTTATACTATTTCATTTGTAACCATTTCCAAATATGTTTGGAGATGTAATCAAATGCATTGCTAATTAGCCATTACTGATATTTTAAGTTTTTTAGATATTTAAACTGCTTTTGTGCAGTTTATAAAATGTCACTTAAAACAAAGCCACGCGACGTTAAAGTTTATTAATTTTTATAATATAATAATGGAATATTACTATTTTAAAGGAATAATAATTCTAGTTTTTATTGGTGTTTAGACTAGAATGATGAAGTCTTAAAATTAATAAAACATTAAGTTAATTAGGTCGTATTTTAGCAAAACGATTTATTTTATTTTATTGTGAAGTTTTGAATTCTCGATGGATTAAATTTAATTTAATAACTAGCTATCTACACACAATATGCATTTGTACACATGAAACGTCTCGTCACAATAAACTGATTTTATCAATGCCGAGGACATGGAAAGCAGAGTATAGAAGACAAATCCTAAACGGGGATCAAGGAGAGTTAATTTTGAAGCTTTTAATATAAGTACACTAGGTGACAAAAATGGCGCTAGTGTACCATAAGGGTTTGGTATGAAATAAGGTGTTATAAACCTATACCGGTGAGTGTGTAGTGACTACTAAATTTGCATCATTTTAGAGACTAGCTGATTTAATTAGAATAGTTAAATTTTACGTTTAATATAAGATAAAATGCGTACAATAATGATTAAATACCTCCTTTTGACGAGCACTTTATTTTACATAGTCGGTGTTCCATACCTGTTCCCTCCAAGTAATAACCTGTACTCTAGCCATACCGTTGGAACCGTAATGCTGAATTTTGAGTGTATTAATTCCTATCATGGCACAATTAACAATTCCGAATGAATTAGTTACATTCACTGAGAATTACTTGATATCAATAAATTTGAGTACATTATAAAATAAAAATACATAATGCTTCAATCTTATAGTCTAAAAAAGGAAAAATAGTCATAAATCTTGTATGCAGATAATATATTACTTTGTTGGAATAACATGAAACTATGTTTCAATAGTCCTTAAGACGAATATATATTTCTATGGTCACCTGTCAACATAATTTCACATATACCCCTCATTGGAATGCAACAAGGCATAAAGTTTGTTCAGAAATATTTTGGAAAGTGTAATGTTAAAATTAGATAAATTTTTGTAGCATAGTGTAGGAGTGGGTGATATAAATCGTATATAGATTCAATATCTATATATCGCAGCAATATCGTTGAATCCGATATCGCCCCGCACGAAATCTATATATCGATATCAGCCGATACACGATATTGCTCGATGTGATGCGCATCGCCATATCGTACCGATTCGTGAATCGAAATCTATATTTCGATATCAGCCGATACACGATATTGCTCGATGTGATGCGCATCGGCATATCGTACCGATTCGTTAATATCAGCAATATTCGTTTGGTTCGTATCGAATCGGCCAGAGTGAGTGAGCGCACGATAGGGATATCATGTGATGAATGAAACAGAAACAGGCATTATCCATACAATTGTAAACCTTATATTTAAGTCCATATGTCTGTAGATTATTCTTAGCGTATCAGCAGGATACAATTAAGGAAAGAAGTTTCAACTTTCGACCCTAACTTGAATGCAGTATAGCCTATTTGCATCGTTGAATTTAATTTCACGCGCTTTGACCTTGAACTAGAATTTTTGGACAAGTGTTTATAAATACTTAAAAGTTTTTTGTGTTTGATTTTTAAAGTACACATTTTTCTATTTTTAGTTGAATCCAAATAATTGAGTTTATTTCTTGTGTTTGTATTAAACTTTTGAAATCTACACTCTTTTGGTATATTTTGTAATTTTAAATTAAGACACAAAATACTAAAAACTGAAAATAATGTAGCCAGTCCTAAGCCTGGTAAAAGCATGAAGGAAAGTTTTTTTGATATTTTTATTTTCATGTTCTTTTTATTACTTTAAGATCATATTATAAATTGATATCAGAAAACCAACCGTATAACGTTGACTTAAATCTATATCTACTACGATATTATATCAGCGTATCGTTTCAAATCTCAAATATCATGAATCGAGAAAATCTACTAGCATCCATCAATATATAGATTCAGAAAATATATAGATTCAATATCCGATATTGATCCTCGATATATAGATACGATTCGATACGCGGCAAAACCGATATTACCCACTCCTAGCATAGTGATGCTCCAATCACCGCTTAAAACGATGTGTTTAGTACACAATACTATAATATGGTAATTGTCCCTGTCCATAGATGACAACGTGTGTATTATTTTTTGTACCATGGGTTATACAGTATCATGTTTTATCAAATCAATTTAAATAAAGTTATTATTGTAATATATATACATGCTTTACATATTATCCTTTTGCCTATGGTATTTTAAATGCCACACTCTCGCACTGTGTAAACTCCAGTTACAAATTGCAGCTGACACACACATTTTTATGTATATTTTAGTTTCAATGCTTTAAGACATTTCAAAATTATTCGTTTATTAATTACATATCAGTTGGCAATATATCAGGTATGAAGTATTTACAGAGATCCATCTCTGAGCTCACAAATGTCACCTTACCAGCTGTGTTCTCATCCAGCCTGAAAACATAAATAAATCTAATAAATGAGATTTTAAATTGAAAATGATAATAATTATTATATTATCTATATTATTATATTTTATATAATATTTTTAGGAAATTTTGTAAAGGATTCTTTTTTTTTGAGAATTAGTCTGAGTGGTAGCTTATCCCACAATTCTAAGTTTAATACTGACCATCCTTTGATTACAGTCCAACATCCGGAGAAAAATGTGGGGGCATTGATTATGAGGCAAACTCCTAGCCTCTCAGGATAGTGACGACTAAGCAACCATATTAAGTTCTTCAATATTTGATAATCCATGCAAGATAGTGTGAAATTATTCAAGTCGAAAACAATACACAAGTTGTCCACCACTTCTTCAAAACATTTATTACTTGCAACTTCCTGAAAATTTCGAATATTTAGAAATTAATGTAATCTATGTTGTTTAATGGATGGACATATTTACATTCCTCATGGTGTTGTTAAATGGTTACTGAAATTCATTAACATCTCAACATTAATATCTCTACCAACCACCACACACCACCACATGATACTATTTGCATTGATAAGTATGATTGAGTTAAAGCAGAAATGGTTGGATGGTGGTACTTATTCAAGTGAGCTCACAATATGACACATAACTGCAAATTCATGAAAATTAAAAAGTCTGTTTGTTTAACTAGAGTATTCAAATTTTTCATGTAAAAGGGAATCAATCATGTCTAACAGAATATACATAAAAATATATAAAAAAATATGCACTCAAGATATTCAAGAAAATCAGGTAATTGCAAGCTTACAATTATAAGTTAATTACTTACCAAGCAATAGACAATGAATTTCGTTAACTCATCAATGTTCCTATCACTAGAGTTATAGTTCTTGGCTGGAATGTATATAATCGGTCTTCCGATGGCATCCCTGTGTCTGAGCACTTTAGCTTTATCAGAATATTTTTCTATTAGTTCTTTATTATTGTGTAAAACAGCAACTCCATATTCTACTCTCCACTTATTTGTTTTAAGGATCGCCTGTCGAATTATTTAGATTACGTATTTTAAATTAGTAGATTTTTTTTAAATAAAGCGGCTCAGACTTGGTTGGTCTCAAGGAAAACAACAATAAACATTGATCGGAAATTATGTGACATATTACTAGTTCAGATTGTTAGTTGATTGAAATGTAATGCCCATTTCAGAACAAGAATGATGTCAAGCATAAATCCATGTGTTAAGATTATTTAAGAAATCTCGATATAAAGTTAAGACAAAAAGTCACTTTGAGTACCTCTTAAAAATGATATCATTGAAAATAGAAAGCAACCGTAAGAGTTCATTAGTTTTAAAACTAGTAGTATTAAACGATTTGAAACCATATGGTAAATATGGAATAAAAAATTAAATTTTGTTTATAGTTGAGAATCGTACCTGGAATGCATTGTCGACCGTATGGAATGCACGCAAATATCTTTTGAGAGAATAACTGTTATGATACTGAGCTGGGTCTGCACTGGCTATAAGATTCATACGTTCTTTCAATTGCTTTAAGTCTTCTTCATTTACGGGCTTTAGTTCTTCAGCCATTTTCGGTGGTATTGCTATAAGTTTAGTTTTAGTAAATCACAGTTGTTTTAGTTTGTGTATAAATAGTATCATTTATCACAGTTATGTTTTTATTTTAATACGCGGTCTTCTAGCCAAGTTTTAAAGTTACCTACCTCATGAATTATTATCAAGCATCTCTAATATATTAAGTGTATAATCTATGTTATCAAGTGTATTATCTATGATAGGTTTAATAGAGTAGTAGTTCTATTTTCTAACTGGAAAGGCAAAGGCATCGAATCATACACCCTAATTATTTATATATTTTTTTTATGAAAAATGATAATATGAAATAAAATGAAATGAAGTTGATTAATTTGGAACATTAATCAATTGGCTTAAATGAAATGAAATGAGATGAGATGAGATGATATAAGATAAAATATAATCACAATAAAATTATTTATGTACTTTTTATCTATGTATGGAATGCGAGGAGCAAAGTTAAGTGACTTGTTTTATTTTGTTTGTTTAGTGTTTCTTCAGGTTTCAATGAATAATAACGGTGGTTTATTGACTGTTTAATATCTGTGAAACTGCACAAATATGGGAAAATGAAACAAAGCCGCTGGACGTAGCTTGTCGGGATCCTCCAAAAAGTCCACTGAAAAAATCTCAGTAAATGATCACCGTCTTACTGAAATTATATTTCATCCCAGTTGATTATTGTCTCAAATTAATTATCTCCGTTTAATTTCATTTTATTTCACTCCATATCATTTTTCATAAGAATAAGAATATAAATTAAAATAAGACATGACCTAAAGATCTTAGTTACCAGGTCATAAAATCCCTTATAAAAAAACAATCTCCTTAGTCCAGAAAAGGGGAAACGGATTCTTTTCGTCTCGTTTAAATCAAGCGCTTACCAAAGTACTATAATTGAAAAACTAAAAAAATACTATAATCTAATTACATTTTTGCCGTTTACCAAAAAATAAATACTTATTTTGGATTTAGGCCCTTCAGTTCTATAGGTGCGACATAGCTATGGATAACTACTTAAATAGCATTCATATTTAAATAACTAACAATCTCGCACAGCATTACGAGTTTATACTTAGTCTGGCCATAAATACTGTTACAATACAAAATAAACAAAATATTACATTTGAATTTGGAATCTGTCATTTTTATATGATTGCTCATTGAGTTTTCTCATTTTGGCGCCAATACATTGTACAATATTTTGCGATATTAAAATGGAGTGGGGTGATAAAGAGAACCGAATCGCTGTGATTGCATTACACAAAGTAGGCATGGAGCCAAATGTAATTTTTAAAACTCTCCATACGCTTGGTATTAGTAAAATGTTTGTGTACCGGGCTATTAATAGGTGCAATGAGACCTCCTCTGTTTGTGACAGAAAATGATCTGGACGTCCACGTAGTGCTCGTACAAAAAAGGTGGTCAAAGCAGTAAGGAAAAGAATTCGAAGAAATTCTGTCCGAAAGCAAAAGATTTTATCTCGGGAGATGAAGATAGCACCTAGAACCATGCCGCGTATTTTAAAAGATGACTTAGGACTTGCAGCCTATAAGAGACTGGTCATTTCTTAACTGATAATTTAAAAGAGAATAAGGTGGTAAAATCGAAACAACTACTGAAGAGGTACGCAAAGGGAGGTAGGTCTTAAAAAAAATTCTTTACGGATGAGAAAATGTTTACAGTTGAGCAACATTTTAACAAACAAAATGACCGTATTTATGCTCAAAGCTCTAAGGAAGCTTCTCAATTAGTCGACAGAGTGCAACGTGGGCACTATCCGACTTCAGTGATGGTTTGGTGGGGTATTAGCTATGAAGGAGTGACTGAGCCATACTTTTGTGAAAAAGGTATCAAAACATTGGCACAAGTGTATCAAGATACCATTCTTGAGAAAGTAGTGAAGCCCCTTTACAAGGTAGTGAAGCCCCTTAACAACACCATGCTCAATAATCAAGAATGGTCCTTCCAGCAAGATTCGGCGCCAGCTCATAAAGGTCTACGCAGTCTTGGTTGGAAACGAACGTTTCGGACTTCATCAGAGCTGAAGACTGGCCGTCGTCTAGTCCCGATCTTAATCCGCTGGATTATGATTTATGGTCAGTTTTAGACAGTACGGTTTGCTCTAAATGCCATGATAATTTGGAGTCCCTAAAACAATCCGTACGATTGGCAGTGAAAAATTTTCCCATGGAAAGAGTGCGTGCTTTTATTGATAACTGGCTTCAACGTTTAAAGGACTGTATTGCAGCCAATGGAGACCACTTGGAATAAGCTTTTTAACTTTAAATTGTTTTATATTTATGTATTAAACTAACGTGATTCCGTAAATGGCGCATAGACATCAACCCACCGAAAAGCACAGGGGTGTTCTTTCAAAGGGGAAATTTAACCCGTATTTTCTCCCACATTAAGAAAATAAATCTCACACCCGCGATCACCCTGTTTTTTTGTCTTGGACATTGATCAATACTCGTATAAAAAGATAACATATTAAATAATCGTTTATATGTCTCGTGGTTATTGTCTAAAGTAGCTGTAAGATTCTCTTAAGCTTATCAATTAGAAATAAATTTATGTATATTATTCAGATGGTTTCTCTGACACCAGAGAAATCAATGAAAAAACGAGACGGATTGATAAGCTTTTGGAAGTCGATTAAAAATAGGGTTATTTCTGCCTATAAAGCCCCGGGCAAAGCTATTATAAAATTACTAATACATTTTTAAATCGACGAAAGAATTTCGACGCCAGAGAGTTCGCCCGACGATTATAAGTGATCCATATTCGTGATTATTAGTTCTCATTTTAAAAGTACAATTAGTCCTACACAAAAATAAGTGAATTGCATTATTTTTCAACCCCCTTGGAAACTGGGGGTCCTCCGTACGGATTGAAAAGTACGGGCTGCACGTCTAAGTACGGATCGTTGACCATCACGCACCGCCTCCGAGTTCCCCATCAGGCAGTGAAACCTTCCTCAGTGAAGACCCTCACGCGTCACGAATCGAACGGTCCTGAGTTAAGTTCCCAGAGCACACAGGTTTTTAAAGACCAGAGAACTTCCCTGTGCCGCGAACCCACTCCCTGCGAGTAGACATCAAAAGAGTATTTTTTATTTTTAAATCAACATGTAGTTTTTTTTTAAGATTCAATTAATTAGTATGTTTTTTTTATCTTATAATAAACAATTGTAATCTTTGTAGTTGAGCTTTCCTTATTTGTACCCGCCGCCGCGCCGTCAGGCGAACATACATTCCAAATGGAACAACGTGAAATTAATTATAAAAAAGGTAATAGGTGAGTGGAGTGATCCATTTAATTTTACCCAAATGTAAAATTACAGACGCCCCCCCCCCCTCTTTTATCGAAAGCTCACGACTCATGCCGATTATTGTAGCTATGACAAAAACATCCGGATCTAACATGACAACAGGAATAATAAAAAGGAATGAAAACGTACTTGCATTTTCAATTATGTACTGAATGAAAAACAATCTGATGTAGTATTTGATCTCAGAACTGGCGCCTAAAATAATAGTCATGCTTTCATATAAATTCATTTAGTTAAAATTCCTTTCGTGAACTGAACGTCGCGATCTTCGACACCGTCCACGCATTACGATAAAACTGTGCAAACGACAGCAATGTACCAAATAAGTGTCAAACGAATCACAGAGAGATTCATATGTGCCGACATAGTACAGAAATAGTAAGGTTATGAAATTTATTACTCGTATTTACAAGAGAAACGAAGTTTTTTTTTTTTTTTTTTTTTTTTATGATTGAAAGTTTACTGGTGGCCCGAAGGCCTTTCCAGTTTCACCAGGACAGGTGGGCGAGCAAAGGCTCAGCCAAGAGGGGTGGGATTTGCTAACAACTGCCCGAGCGCCTCCGAAGGAGACCTAACAACTCAAGAGCAATTGTTTCGCGAATGAATCTACTACCGGATCGNGGCAGATGTACCACGAACACAGAAACAACAAAAGGAAACAAAACAAATAAAAACTTCCAGAAAGAGCACTTAGTCGGCAGATGTACCACAAACACAGGCCGCGCGAACAATGGCCGGGCTAACAAAAGCCGGGCGAACAAAGACCGGGCGATCGAGTGGACGATGAGCACGTCCGCACGTGACGGGTGCCTCTATCGGAATGAGAAACGAAGTAGGTAGGTACGCTTTGATTTTTTTGTGATTTGAAAACTTTAAAATGTCAGTACAAAAGCCCGGTAACATTAAAGTCTGGCAAATGCGGCACAGCCCGTCTGAAGTCTTCGATGGTACAGCAGAAGCTGTACCCGATGTCGATTCGATCTGGTTGCCAGCCAATCCAGTTGAACGCGGTGTTGTTGCGGCAGTGGTCAGTGCAGAATTGCAAGGTGCGTACTTCAGTTTCAGTGTAGTACGGGTTGTTTATCGCCACAAAAGCTGTGCCCTTTTGTAGGACAGGCTCATACACAACCTTAAAAAAATTGAATAATAATAATAGTGATAATAATAACTGGCGAGAAATCACGCACGGTCATCGGACCCCAAATTAGGATTCCCTCCTGTGTTATGGGTACCAGAGACTGACATACATATTTAAATACGTTTAAATATATACATAAATAAAAAAAAACAACTAGACAAAAAACAAAAAGATCTGTTCATCACACGAATGTTTGCCCGATGTGGGAATCGAACCCACGAACCTCAGCGCATCAGTCAGGTCCGCTAACTACTGCACCACCGAGTCGGTCAGTTCAGGAAATCACTGTATATCCTTTTATCCTTTTTCTCGTTTCTAGGAAATTGGGTAGATTGCTAGTTGACAATACAGAACGGCTCAGAATGTTGTGTATATAAATATTAATCTTTGTACGTACTTTGTAAAAGTACAACGGAACAGGTATCTGAGGGTTATTGTTAGTGTCTCGGTAAAGGTAAATATCAACAAGTTGGTTATTTTGGTCCCGTAGTTGGGTTACGCCGAAGGTTCCCGTGTAAACAGTAGTGTTATATCCTGCTTCACCAATGCGTGCACGGAGTTTCTAAAAGAAAAATACTTCGTTTAATAGGTACTTCTATCTTATTCTTTAAAATTTAATATAAAGAAAATGTTGTTAGTTGGTATACGCTTCATTAAAAACTTGCGCAAAAATGTAAGTAGCACTTCTTTGAAAATACTTTTTAAATTAGTTCGAATAGGTTAGATTGCCTGGAAAATTGAAAAAATTCTAGGTCTCTAGATTTCTGGGTTTGTTGGATCATCAGTCTGATGGATGATGGTGGCATAAGCATTCTGTTGTCTATGAGTACGACTGCTATTATGAGTACAGCTACTTAGCATTATATAGGCAATGAATTCGTTTACGCTACTAATGTATGATAACAAAATATCCGCATTCGCACTTGCGGATTTATTACTTACCCAAACTGACCTGTTGTGGTTTTTTTATTAGATCGTTCGTTTATTCAATAGTCTAAATTTAATAATAACCTACCTGTTCAAGCGAATTCCAGTTACCCGCATTAAATGGTTGCCATTGAGGGGCGACATTGATGAAAAAAAACGTGGCTCGCTGACCAGTAGCAAAAATGAAGTCAGTTTTCGCGGCGAGGTGGCCACGGGCCATGTGTTGTGAATTTGTAATGTATTTGCCAGCAAGTTCTGTACCCACGAGGGACGCTAGTGTAGTTTTTTGTTGAGCTTGCGTGTACATTGTATTGACGGAGACCCCAGGGAAAAAACCTCCAGCTGAAAAAAGGGAAAAGGTCGTGAATGTGAACTTATGCGTGAAGACCATTTGGCCTAAAATTACATTTGTGAAAGACAAACATAAAATTAGTTATTCAATTGTATTCAAATCTGTCTGTTATGTATTTTATTGCTTAAATGATTGGACGAGCTCACCTGGTCTTAAGTAGTCTTAAGTAGGTCACCCATTGACATCTGCAACCTAAATGCCGCTACCCACCTCGAAACATGAGTTCTAAAGTCTTAGTTTTAGAGCAGGGGTGAGCCACTTTTTTAATCAATGGGCTTGGATTTTTATTATACGATGTTATTTATTCCTTCAACGTTGAAGTCAATCGTGAACATTTGTTAAGTACGTGAAATACGTTTAGAAATTAGAAAAAATGGTATCTGATCTGCCTGCGGGATTGGAACATCACTACATCGCTTGATACGAATGCACCGCCTTGTTATCCTTTATGCTATGACAACTTTAAATACGACGAGTTGATTCGTTTTCTATAGTCAGTTTTAATTGTTATGGCTAACTAGTTTGAGACCCTTAATTAGAATAATCATTGTTTCTCGCAGCTAACCTAACCAGCTAGGTCTGGTAACTCCTGTTTGGTGAACTGCATTTGGGGGATTCTGCTCGTACCACGCATATAAAACCTCCAGGCGGTTCTGGTCAAAGCATGACCAGTACAATGGATAGAAAAAATTGTTTATAACGAAACCAACCCTGTAAAGTAATTGAACAGGTAAATAACAATTTCATATAAATTTGTGTGTAATAAAATAACAAAAAATAAGCAAAAACGGCGGTAGGCAGCGGCTTGGCTCTGCCCCGGGCATTGCTGAAGTCCATGGGTGACGGTAACCGTTCATCATCAGGTGGGCCGTACGCTCTTCTGCCTACTTGGGCAATAAAAAAAATATGTAAATATACCCTGAAAAAAAAACTTCTTTTGTTGTAAAACTTTTTAAATTATCATACGGATCGGAATTTTGTTAAATAATTTCAAATATCTAGTTGATCAGGAAGCTGTTCAAAAACCCGGACATCCAAAAAGTAAAATATAAACGTCGTATAGTGTAAATCATAAAAAAATTCGTAACCTGATAACGGTATTATTTCCATAGCATGTTTCCGATGTAGCCTGAGCTTCATACCGTGAATGACCTGAGCATGTGATGTTTCTAAATTCACTGTGGCCATGAAACCAGTCGTTACCAGAAACTAGCGTATTGCTGACGCAAGTGGCGAACTGAAATGTTAAAGACATTTACTTGATTTGCTTGACCTATAATCTTGATATAAAAAGTACGTTAAATTTTTCATTTAAATGTATCAGTGTCTCGTGTTTTTTATCTTTATATTAGGCTCTCATTTTCTTGACAATTGTTTTTCATTTAATTAATTATTGAAATTTGTTGCTAAAAGTGGTTGCATCTATAATATACGTTTTATTTATTAGTCTAGACATTTGAAAGTGCTCACAAGTGATATTAACAGGTTACCGAAGTTACTGTAAGGCTGAAATTTTAATTGTCATTGTACGAATTTAACTGAAGCTTCAAACCGGAAGACGTTTTTCGCAACACACGCGAATTTAGTTTGTGATCACTTAGTGTATTTTCCAACAAATATTAATAGCTAAAAATATGACAACTAATATCAAGAATGATTTATAATAATGCAACTTACAACGGGAATGCTTTGAACATTTAAAAAAAATTCAAACCTGTCCAGAAATAATGAAGGAATCAGCGAACATATATAAAAATATCCACAGTCTATTGTATAATATCCTAAATTTTTAAGCCGATTAATATTAGATAAATCGATTTAGCCGGTCTTAATTGATGCACCTCTCATTGAGCGTTACCTATTTTTATTTGAAAATGACGTGGGTGAGATCAAATACAATTTGAAAAATATTGATATTGTAAATCCTAATCCTAGTGTGGGGAAGAACCATAATTTATTAAGTTGTATTTTGACAGATTTTATTTCTGTTAGCCTTTGTTATTTTTAGAAGAACTTACACCAGAGCTAGTTGACGAAGTAACGTTAGGATGTTGAATAACTCTTTTAGTCCCTGTACATGTGACAAATATTTGTTCTCCAACACTCAGATGGATCTGACCTGTTGTTCCTGTTGGAATTATGTAATTGCTACCTCGGAGATACACCGGCTGGGGTTCGCCAAGATCCCCATTGACTCTAAATGCGCAGCCTGAAATTTATTTGTGAAAACACACGAACTAAAGATTAATATATAAGTATTTTTGATTAGTAACGGCTTACAAGGTTTTCGGCAATTTTTCAAAGTGGCTATTTGATAAGATTGAGAATTCAATTCTAAAATTCGTGAAAACACAATCTATTGAAGACATCTGTATTGAATTATTAATAATTCATTAATTAAGTAACTTAAACGTAAAAAATGAATAAGGAGACTAAGGAAGGCAAACGCGATTCGACTCGGTGAAATATTTCGTATTGATTTTTAAAATCAATGGTACTTTTATGTGGTTTGGGATTAGACAATATTAAGATACCTAATTATTGACATTTATTATGACGAGAATTAAGGTGGTACGTTTACCTATACAAAAAAAAATTAGATAGCCTATTATATACATCTAGCTGTAATGTAAATTTAAGATTTAGTTCACGCTTTGACTAATGATATGATAAGATATGGTAAACTATTCAGTCAATTAACAAAACTAAAGACAGATTACCAATTATTGTGATAACTCATGAAAATACTTCTTTTAATATATATATATGTATATAATGGGTAGGGAAAAAGTTTCTTCGCATTTTTTGAGAAAATTCACAAAAAAATTTAATATTACTACATTTATTTACATTTATTTACATTTAACTAAAGTATGTAGGTACCATTTTGTTGGTGGTGGAAACAGGTGGAAATCTGAAGGTGCAAGGACAGGACTATACGGCGGATGCATTAACGCCTACCAGCCAAGCTCTCTTAATTTTTGCTGAGTGACTAAAGATGTGTGAGGTCTAGTATTATCATGATGAAAAACCACACCTCTTCTGTTGATTAATTCCGGCCGCTTTCTCTCAACTTCTTGCTTTAATCTCATCAGTTGTTCGCAGTAGAGTTCAGAATCGATGGTCCTGCCTGGTGGTAACAGCTCATAATGCTCTTCCAATCCCACCACACACACAGCATCACCTTTTTGCGAGTTAACCCGGGTTTCGCCACATTCTGTGAAGCCTGACCGGCCTTTGACCACGGCCTTTTTCGCACGTTCTTGTCAGACGTGATCCACTTTTCATCACCAGTTATCAGCTTCTTCAAAAATGGTTCGGTTTCATTACGTCATAATAAAGAATCACAAATGAGTACACGGTTCATTAGGTTTCTTTCAGTGAGCTCGTGAGGTACCCAAATATCAAGCTTTTACAAAAAAGTACACAAGTACGCAGTTTTTTTCAAATGCGCCAAAACTGTTTTGTGGTCAATTCTCTGTTCTTCAGCTACGTCGTAACTACTGATATTCTGATCTTGCTCCACTTTTTCAAAAATAGAATCCATTTTATCCGAAATAGGGCGACCATAGCGACGTGCATCTTTGACATAAAAATTTCTGGATTGAAAATGCTTAAACCAAATTTGTGCTACTCTCATCTTGACAGTACGAAAAATAAATGAAAATCACAGATTTTTCTAATATGAATTTGGAATTATCTTCTTTAAAATTTAAATTTTTAATGATACCAAAACAAGCCAGATACAAATACTATAGCCAAAGAGATTTTATTACAAGTTCATACATACTATAATGCGAAAAGACTTCCCCCAACCTATTATATAAATCAGAAAATACACTATTTGGCCACGAACATGATCAAGCATCTTGGTGATCCTTTATTTAATAATGAAAAATACGGATTACCTGTTGCAGAAGTAGCCCTGTCATTAATTTGCCACTTTCTTTCTTCTATTTCTAACCACGAGTCCAGATAGTCTTCAAAATCGTCTTCATTGAGATCAAATGCGAAACGGCTTGGCTCCGGAAGTTCTATGTGCCAGGAAATAACTGTCACTGTATAGGTGATTATCAGAAAAATAAATAGCGCCATTTTTATTTTTCAATATTACTTAAATGTTTCGAGATATTATGCGCTTGCCTAATATAAGGGAACTTTATCTCAAGTGTAGCTAAGTTCTTTGATTAAACTGAATTCGCGCGATATGATTTTTCAATGAAAACCGAGCTATTTATTCGTCATATCTAGTTCCAGTTTATAATATCTGATTATCTGTAGATTAGATACAAATTAGAAGTAGTTACGTAAAAGTTGTGGGATATCTAGTTACCTATTCAGACTGTTTTCGTCATTTAAATTAATTAAATATGAAATTAGTGTTTTAAGCCCGATATAACGGTGAATTATGATATGATACAAAAACAATAATATTAATAAGTTTATTTCATTTATGCGAATTTCAACATGTGAGACTAGTAAAAAATACCGACAAAGGCCTCCAATTTAAGATAATACTTACATTTATTTCATCTAATTTTATTACTAACCATTCTGATGACTGTATGCTACAATGTTGCCCTCTTCTCGAAGGAATTCAATATTTATATAATTCTACAAGAACAGGTAGGTGCTATTAGTTGACAGCATGAGCTTGGAGGCTAATTATTGACATGTTTAAAAAAGAAAAAGAAATATTGAGTGGTTTGGTATCGTAGCGCATACCTATGTATTTTGGTGGATAAAATGGATTTGGATAATAATTAATAAAATATAATCGTATGTAACTATTCAAAATGTGACAAGCAATTAAAACTTTACTCCTCGCCTACGTGTTTTAATGTTGAAAATAGCATTTACGAAGTTTGGGTAGCCGTATTTTACGAGGGGCGGTCAATTCTACTATCCTTGTTTGAAGTTTTGATTGAAAACTAGACATCGATCGGTCTGACACACAAAATAGCGTGGCTAGATTCCAAAATTGGCTTAAAATTCCCAGTTTGAGATTTGTAATTAAAGTGCATTATTCATTCGCTAATTTTGCATTATGATGTAATTGAATACGTACTTGTTTTTGGTTGTTATTGATAAAAATTACTCATAATATTGATTTTATCGTTATTAGATTACTTTATCGATAGTAATGTTACGAAACAAATTAAAATTAAGTTTGCCAGATATTGAGCAAATATTGCCATTACTTGTACTTAGGTACCTAAGTATGAGGTCGTCGTACTAATTTTAAAAAGAAATCCATGTTCAATCCTGCAATATCGTTATTTTACGTTGGCGTATTTACGTAGGCTGCAGGCTTTTCGCTTTGTATTCTAAAGCAGCAAGTTCGCTAAATATATAAATGTTTACCTACATACATATATTCCTTAGCTTCGAATTTTAATGCACTGCACTAAGTATACATTATTTGCGTTCAGATTTTGTTTGATCGAAGTTCACTGACACATACAAGTGCGAGGTTGGCTACAAACTGCGCACATGCTTAAATTTCACTGAAAGTTATATATGGAAGAATTCTTTAATTTAAACTAAAAAATAGTAGTTACAGTAGTAGCAATATTTTAAATAGCCCATAGCGTGGGTGACATAATAAAGAAAGCTTTGCGTCTTAATACGAGTTAATCTTAGGTTAATGACAGGTTAATCTTAGGTTAATGTTAATGATAGGTTAATCTCAGGTACTATTACGATTACAAAATATAATTCTGTGTTTGAAAATAGATAGCTCGAAATTGAATAATTTCAGGCTTTCAATTAAATTCAAACGAAGCCGCGGGATTAAAGCTAGTAGAATATATAAAAATCAACAATGAAAAGAGTGTAACCTGATATAAAAAAACCTAAACTTTTTACATTGTGTTACAGTATTGGATTTATTGTCAACTCAAATAACATCTATTTTTTATCTAATATGGAGGATCTTATGCCATTTTCGCAGGCTTCTTGAAGTTTTGTACTTACACATTAGTCAAGGTCTGTGTTTTAGACTGGAGTTAATAGAGCAAGTTGGGTTATTGTCTTCAACGGCAATGTACATTTAAATTAATTGCGTAAATTAAATGTGGCCCTAAAATCAGTGCAGCAACTTTGGTGCGCTTAACTTATAACTACGATGAGCCGATACAGCACGTAAAGGCTTTTGTTTTAATAATTTTAAAACTGGATGCATTTCAATTTCATATCTTAGTGTTATTTATAAGTATAAAGTAAAACAAAAATTTGTTTCAGAAGATTAGCAAATTATTTTCTTTTAATATCTGCACATTTCAGATACATTTGATGTGATATTTATGTCAGAAGTCCGTTAACATTGAAAGCTGGAAGGTGCGGAATAGTTCTTCGGAAATCAGCAATGGTACAGCAGAAGCTATAGCCGAGGTCGATGCGATCAGGTTGCCACCCCACCCAGTTGAATGCGTTGTTATTGCGGCAACGGTCTGTGCAGAACTGCAGATTGCGAGCCTCCGCTTGGGTGTAGTAAGGATTGTTGATACTGATAAAGGCGGTACCGAGGCGACGAGAGGAGTCATGCACCACCTGAGAAATTAAAGTGAAACATATGTGTACAGTGTATTTTCTTTTGAATCGGTTTAAATGTAAATAATATTTTAAAAAAAAAAATATTTTATAATCATCATCATCATCATCAGCCTATATCTCTCCACTGCTGGATCTACGTCTCTCTCCGCCACAATGAACGGTCCTTCGCCTTTCGCATCTCCAGTATATCGTTGCAAGTCATACTATGGCTTATGATGTTACCTTGTAGAAATAAAGTGGTACAGGAATTTGAAGAGCGCCGTTGGATGCACGATGCAANAAAAAAAAAAATATTTTATAATCATCATCATCATCATCAGCCTATATCTCTCCACTGCTGGATCTACGTCTCTCTCCGCCACAATGAACGGTCCTTCGCCTTTCGCATCTCCAGTATATCGTTGCAAGTCATACTATGGCTTATGATGTTACCTTGTAGAAATAAAGTGGTACAGGAATTTGAAGAGCGCCGTTGGATGCACGATGCAAGAAAATATCAACAAGTCGGTTGTTTTGATTTCTAAGTTGTGTTACGCGGAATGTTCCAGTGTAGACCATGGTATGATATCCAGCCTGTCCAATTCTACGACGAAGATTCTGTTAACAAAGATTTGTTAAATTTCAATATTTTTCCATAACTGTTAACTATATATTTGTTACATGCGGTTTTGAGTAGAGGCCGTTCAGTTCACCTGCTCGAGCCGGTTCCAGTTTCCAGCGTTGAAAGGCTGCCATTGAGGAGCAGCGTTAATAAAGTAGAAGCTAGCACGTTGACCGGTTGCATATATAAAGTCAGTCTTAGCAGCAAGATGACCCCGTGCTAAGAACTGCGTGGACGTTATATATCTGTCTGCGAGGGCATTTCCCACGAATCCAGCGATCATGTTTCTTTGAGATACTTGAGTATAGGCAGAGTTAACAGCTACACCGGGGAAGAAGTTTCCAGCTAAAAGATAATTTTAGTATTAGATTAAAATGTATGATTTGATTAATATGCTATGAGCTATGAATAAGTTCAATTCTCAGAATTCCTAAATTTTTAAACTTACCTATCCAACTAGGCCTATCAACGCGAGACTGGAATACGGAATTAGGTGGGTTTTGGTGGTACCATACATATAGAACCTCTAAGCGGTTGCGGTCAAAGCAGGACCAGTATAGAGGATAAAATACATTGTTGACGATGAATCCCACACTAAAACAAAAATACTTTTTTTTTCAAATATCTAAATCTAGCAGAAACATAAGCAACTCTAGATTAATACAATGTTAGATAATATACCGAATAACAAAGTGATTATTGAAGCATCTAGTGTTGGTTTGTTGAGCGTCATGGTGAGCGTGAGAAGAGCATGTGAGTTGCCCGAAAGCACTGTTACCACGCAGCCAATTGGCTGTGACGAGATTATTGTTTTGACAGCTGACCGTCTGAAATGTAATAATACGAGTTTTGTAAAGGAGTAAAAGACAAATAATACAAGTCAAAATGAAATACTAACCCCGACAGCAAGGTTAGAAGCAACATTGGGGTGACGGATCGTACGGCCGGATCCTGTGCAAGCGATAAGAACTTGTTCCCCACGATTAAGACGAATCTGACCTGTATTACCAGTTGGACTTAAATAATTTCCTCTGTGGATATATACAGGTTGAGGCTGACCAAGATCACCGTTGACTCGGAATGTGCAACCTGAAAATATTTACAGTCTTCTGTGACCAATGCTTGAAAAAATCATTAGCGTTCTTGATGTTTTATTTACCGCTTCGGAAATCATTCCTGGTTTGATTGGCGAGCATTTCAGATTGTTGAAGAGCGAGATAGGCATCGAGGTAGTCTTCAAACTCATCTTCGTTAAGAACAAAAGCCAGTTGTCCTGGCTCTGGTAGATCCGTTCGAAGTTTGGAGGGCAGTGCCACCACCGCTACAGCTAATGCTGCGAGAACAAGCGTCAGACGCATTTTTAGTATATTCAGCACTACCACCTTCTGCTAATTTTATACGCAATTTATACTCATTTCGTGTAATATTATGACATTATCAGCTACGTATTAGATTAGTAATCCTATCATTATTTAAACAATTCAAGAGAAAAATATGCTTACCGTCTGGTGTTCCGGATATTTAAATTTAACATTTCCATTGTATTTTCTCTTAAATAGAAGTGTACGTCACATGAAATACCACCAAACCAAATGAAATCTCAAAACGAAACACCAAATAAGGAAATATAACCAATATTCACTTTATAATAATTTTTGTTTGAATACAGAGAAGAGCAGCTCCAGGTCTCCTTTGCTCGCCCACCTGTCCTGGTGAAACTGGAAAGGCCCCTGGGCCACCAGTAATCTTTCAATCATAAAAAAGCTCCTTCAGTGTCTTTAAGAGTTCTCTACTTTAATATGTCTATAGATCCGGTGACAGTTTCAGCATCCTACCCATTTCGGCCGAAAGGTATTCCGGTGTTAAGGACCAGACAGATGTTTACAATGTATTCGAGATTTCGTTTTTTATTCTACCTATTCGCTGTTAGGTAAATCTGAGAAAATTTGCCAACACTAACCCTAGCAAGAGTAGTGCTTCGCAGAATCTACCATCGGATCGGAATGGCGACCCACTGAGAAGATCCGGCGAGAAACTCGGTGGGTTGTGTCTATGGATTAGTTCCGATGCTGACCGGTTCTTGAAGGGCCTAAAAGTATCGAGACTATATAGATCCGGGAGATCCAACAAGACTTGTTTCGGGCGACGAGGGTCGAATATGGACACTTCGTCACTAGATGGTGCTGCATTCACCTTGAGTGTCAATAGGTTACGCTTGTTATTTAACACTACTTATCTACAGCAATAAAAATAGGTTTAATTTCTTCCACGCCGAAAGTATCACAAAAACTGTATAATTCCATTTAAAATAAACACATTGAACTATCCGAAACCAATTATAATCCATATCCAATATATTTTGTATTTTGAATTAGAAAATGAAATCAAGAGCTTTAATACAATATTAACAATATACAATGTTCCACATAAATTTGACGGAAAAAATATTCTTGGACTCTAAAATCTAAAATCTGATTATCGCCTGGAATGAATAATTAATCATTAATACATATTATGGCAAGATAATGTTCCTCATAAAAAAATGCGTGTAAAGCACGTTTTTAAATTATAGTAATCTAGCTAGCTAATAATAACTTTGTAACATGACAAGAAGGATTAAGTCTTCATGTTTTACCAATATTTTTTATCCTAATTTTTTACTCCAAAATTTGCAGTGTATATTAGAAAAAAATGATGTTTTGTTAATCTCATCATCATCATCTAATCTCAGTTTAGTAATCGTGCACATTAATCAAAGCTCTGGAGTTTAGACAAATTTTTCCTAGTCGGTATCAATCATTTCAGGCGTTGGTGGCAAGCTTCACAACACGCCGCAACTCCTATCTGACGGCCGCCCTCCTCGTGCATTCGTGGAATACCTAAACGTAATACTGAAATAATTATACATATATTTAGGTTTAATTCGTTGGGACAATTAAGCCACAGAATTAAACCTAAATATATGTTTAAGTGTTGATGTGACTCGAAATTAATTAGCAAATTTTACTAAATTTAAAATATTGAAATCGCTTAAAAACTAAAGGAATTTTTAAATTATATTGACATCTAGAATCATAACTGGGAACTGTCATGCTTACGATGCATTTGCATGAATAATGCATGGAATATCTAGTCTCGCGCTCTCGCGCCACTACTTGCATATTGCAGATAGTGAGCATAATTCGATGCGAAAATTTACAGAACTATTTGGTTTTTTTTTTTCTAAATTTATCTTCTTTTTATTTAATATTCAATTTTCAAAGTTGTCTTTTCCTCACAGATAAATCATGTAGATTTATTTATCGGGGTTTTTTTTTACCACTTATTTTCAATTAAATAGGGTTATTAATTAGAATTGCGCTATGACATGTCCTTCTTTAAACGAGGCTTGTGGAGAGTATTAAGCGGTAGGCAGCGGCTTGGCTCTGCCCCTGGCATTGCTGACGTCCATCGCGACGGTAACCACTCACCATCAGGTAGGGTCGTATGCTCGTCTGCCTGTTCGGGCAATAAAAAAAATTGAATTATTTACACAATACATTGTATATTAATTGGATTATAATTGACACCAATTTTAATAACCCGGAAATATGCTAAAAGAATTTTGATCGAAAAGGATTCTCCTTTTGAGATCAAACTAATTGCAGCGGGTAATTGGATAGTCACCCGTAAATTTTATCGTTTTGCAGAAGCAAATTCCAAATGGATACCTGCCATAAGTTTAATAGTACAATTCAAACTCTGTAAGCTACATAGGGCAACGGGTTTATTCCACTTTGTTCCATTTAAAAAATTCACTAACACCTATTTTTCATAACCCATTTATATAATGTTAGTGGATCTTGTGATTTTTATTATTTCCGACTTATACCTCGTAGGTAAAGTCTGCCACTCTTCACTATGACTATGACTTAATATATATACGAAATACCTACACTCATTTGTCGAAAGGAATTATCGTAGTTTTTATGATGGTAATATGTTGAAAAAATCGTGGCTGCATTGCATAGTATATTATCAGTGCTACTTCTAATGCGCCAAAGCATATTGGGAATATATTTGTTTTATTTTATTTTTGTAATATTGGTTTTATTTTAGTGCATTAAAAAATACGTTTTCGTAGACTATAAGAAATTAGTTTGGCTTGAAAGGGATAAGCAGTAAACTGCCTTGATTTGATGACGGTCCGATTCCTCTCGTATAAGTTTGAGATAACGTGAGGTGAGATAGGTATCATAATTCAGAATAGTTCGTAAACTTTGACAGGTTATATGGATTTATGGATGTAAATTAGTTTTCGCACGGTTCGACCTAGACTAATTTTACACCTACGAGTATTTCATCTTATATACCCTTGCGGCGACTGAACAAATACGTATTGACACGTTAAAAATGTATAAAATAGGATCACTTGTTTGTAATTATACAGGTAGGTACTAGCGACTCGCCCTTGCTTCGCTTCGGAAACTGTAATTTATTATTAATTTTTCCACTATTTAATGGATGTTATTATACATATAAACCTTCCTCTTCAATCACTCTATCTATTAAAAAAAACTGCATCAAAATCCGTTGCGTAGTTTTAAAGATTTAAGCATACATAGGGACAGACAGATATAGGGACAGAGAAAGCGACTTTGTTTTATACTATGTAGTGATGTTGCTGATTCATTCCTAGCCTGCAGCATGGTTTTGCGAGTACTATTTTTGAATCAAACTTTATGAATAGATATCGAGAAAAATATTCAGATGTTCAATAATTAAGTAAAATTTTAAATTACCATGTCCCAGTGTTACTGTTATATCATAATATATCAGGCCATACATCCTTATTATGGTGTAAGAATTTGTTCAGTAGTATAATTTAGATATTCTGTAGTAGGTACGTACAACTTGGATTACAGTTCTTTTGGCACAGTGGTGTTCTTGTGAAAGTTGCTTAGTAATGCTAAGGTTAAGTAACATTAAGTACTATAAAATCTATAACCTATTTAATTTAATGTGCAAATATGAATTGCTGTATTCATGGCATAGACGGCTCAATGAGTTCTGGACTCTCTTGATGTTAGATAAATACTGGAACTTATAAAGTAAACCTCCGCCGCGGTCCGATATTCTACAACATAAAATTAGTTTAGGGCAAGCTATTATCCGCATAGTGCTGGTTAATAAAGTATAAAATTTTCTGATGGAGCGTATACTAAAAATGTTTACGAATGACTGCCACGGTGAAGCGATAACATCGTGTAATAATAATGAAACCTTAAAAAATTATAATTTGCGTAATTACTGGTGGGCATCTTTTGAGCCTTCACGGGTAGGTACCACTATCATGTCTCTTACTGTCGTAAAGCAGTAATGCGTTTTAGTTTTAAGGGTGGGGCGGCAATTGTACTGAAAAACTGAGACCTAAAACTCTCGTCTCAAGGTGGGTGGCGTATTTACGTTGTTGATGTCTATGGACTCCGTTGACCATTTAACAACAGGTGGGCCGTGAGCTCGCCTAATCACATTAGCCAAAAAAAACACAAAAAAAATGATTCACTAGGGGATTATCGCAAATAATTTATGTTGATAAATACCGACATTTAAGTATTATTATTTCAGGAATCAGCAGCATTAAATACAATATATTTTCGTTTCCAAAAACGATTCAAATTCAACCTACCCGCATTTTTTTTTTTTATTGCTTAGATGTGTGGATGAGCTCACAGCCCACCTGGTGTTAAGTGGTTACTGGAGCCCATAGACATCTACAGCGTAAATGCGCCACACACCTTGAGATATAAGTTCTAAGGTCTCAGTATAGTTACAATGGCTGCCCCACCCTTCAAACCGAAACGCATTACTGATTCACGGCAGAAATAGGCGGGGCGGTGGTACCTACCCGTGCGGACTCACAAGAGGTCCTACCACCAGTAATTACGCAAATTATAATTTTGCGGGTTTGATTTTTATTACACGATGTTATTCCTTCACCGTGGAAGTCAATGGTGAACATTTGTTAAGTACGTATTTCATTAGAAAAATTGGTACCCGCCTGCGGGATTCGAACACCGGTGCATCGCTAGATACGAATGCACCGGACGTCTTATCCTTTAGGCCACGACGACTGTATGATTGGGTTGCGTTTTGTCTGGCTTGCTGTGCAATCGACTATAAACAAACTACTGTAGTCTTTTCCATACAAAAGAGAAGTAATAAAGAAAATAATAAAACGTGCTACTTTTAAATTGTTATATGTTCTGGTGTTTATGTTATGTAGAATTTTTTTTCTTGTCTGTATTTATTTTTTATTAACAAAAAGTCAAATTTAAATAATTTAACATAACTCAACCCACACAGTAGAACAGATCTT